GTTGTAACAACAAAAATTTGTGGGGAATCGTTTCCCATAGCAAACTCTTATAATCGAAATCAAAATCAGTTATGTCACTTAACTTGTCTGTTGTGTTATGCTATACATAGCACGAATAAAAAGCTCACCGTGATACCAACAACAACATAAACCCAGATCTCACTGAATACATAGCTAATTTTTGCGCGTCTCACCTATTTAGGTAGAGAATGAAATTTAAAATAACCCACTAAGTTAAGTTTTACTTGATACATATTTTTTGATCATATAAATGTCCAATCTGTCTCTTGGACTTACGGTCAAATATGTACTCCGGTTATTTATAATGTACGTGATATAATTGGTTTTGATTTTAGATATAAAAGTTTTGCATGGACGAAGGTTCGTCGCAAATGTATGCTATTAAAAGACTTGTTTACCCCTTCATCAATGCATGAGACCGTACAAGAAAATCTATTTGTGATTGGTGTATACATAAAAGACGATCAACATAATTTTTCAACATGAAATATCTAGTCATTTAGAACAATTCTTGCAATATGTAATGTTCTTCATACTGATATATTGAACAAACAAGTGAATAAAATATCATATAAAAAAGACTTTATTTGTCAATTTTTTCTTGACAATTTTCTGTATGGATCAAACAAACATTGTTTTTGAATACTTGTTCAAAAGAAGAGCTACAATAAAAAGTAAGTTATATGCGGAGCACAATTTGTTCTTATGAATCCTTGTATTATAAAGAAAATTTTAGTATATCATAGGCTCAGAGTAGTTTGAAAAAATGAATGGTTGGATAATTTTGATAGCCATTGTATGTAACATAAACGAGAAGAAAATCCGGTTCGTTGTAGAGCAAATCTTTTTCTACAAATTCGTATTTAAAAAGAATTATAGTTTGCATTGAAATAGCTTTGGTCAGCATACAAAATTGAAAATCACGAAAAATTCATTGAAGACAAAGGTTTTGATTTCGGTCCAAAGTTTATCCTCAATGACCTCACTTACAGTCAGAAGAAAATTTTCGAATGACCATAACATTCTGATTCTCTTTGGTGACTTCTAGGTAGACAAAAAAGTGGATCTGACATGTTGTGTAAATACTTTTTTCAGATAGATTAGAACAAAAAAGAAGAATAACAATACTAATATGTTAGCATATTGGTAACTAATCTCTAAAAATTTTTTTTTGTTTTCATCAGGATAATAACTTTGTTATATAGTTTTTCGATGTTATATCTTAAGAACAAAAATTTCTTTTTTATTCATTCTTTACTAATATAATCATAAAGCATATTTAAATATTAATTAAATTCAAAGATAAGAAACCGTTTTCAGTTTTCTTTTTGCTTACGCGCAAAATCCCCATCTACCTTACTTTGGTTACTAAGCGTGTATGCTTGCGCATGCTTATCTTTTACAATCGTTCTCTTTTACATTATTGTCTGTATATGTGATAAACAAAAAGTAAATAGTAAAACAACACAATAGTTATTATTTATAAACATGATCAAAGCTATACTTGTATTTAATACTCGTGGTCAAGCGCGTGCATCAAGATTTTTTGACTCATGTTCAACGGAATTACAACAAAAATTACTTCGTGAATCCTATCAAATAATATCAAAACGTGATATTAATGCATGTAATTTTATTGAATACAATGATTGTAAATTAATATATCGTCATTATGCAACACTTTATTTTGTATTTGCTATTGATTCAAGTGAATCAGAATATGATATATATGAATTAATTCATACATTTGTACAATGCTTAGATCAATATTTTGAAAATGTATGTGAACTTGATTTAATATTTCATTCTGATAAAGTTAATCATATATTAAATGAATTTTTTATGGGTGGTTTTATAGTTGAACGTAGTCCTGATTTAGTTTTAAATGATATACGTACTCAAATACGTTTAGAACGACAAGATTCAGGTGTTTTGACACAAGTGGGATCAAAAATAAAATCTGTTGTTGATACAAAAACAGAAAAAATGAAAATTGATATGGAAAAAAAATTTGATGTGAAATTATAATAATAATAAAAACGAATTTTAGTTTATTTTATTCTTCATTTTTGTTTTGTATTTGAATGTGTAAATTTAATAATTAAAATAAGATAAATGATTGGAACAAGAATAAGAGCAAAACCTAAGAGAAAATTTAAAGATAATAAAATAAAGTATGTTTTTCAATTAGATTTTACCTAAAAGATAGTTTTTATATCACGTTCATCAAAGAAACATGGAGAAGCTTTATTCAACCTTTAAACGAGAAAAATATATTTCTTTTTCACATACGTAAATATTTCTTAAACTTACAATATATCGATTGATTATCATCAATTGGTTTTTGTTTAATAACATCGATATGAACAATACTTCCTTCATCGTCTTCATGTTCGATAGTGACATTATATCGAATAATGAAATCATATGTACATGTACAGAGTGTATAATCAGTAGAATTTAATGAAAGTATACAATTTTCTATTAGACAAGTCATTGCTATCAATTGATTATTATCGATATATCGATTTTTTTAACAAATAGTAGTCAATCCTTCAAGTAGTTTTATTTGAATTGATGTTACTAGAACTATATACATGTATGAACAAAATAACATCATCACCACCATCATCATCATTTGTTGGTAATATAGGAAAAAAAAAACGAGATATTATTAAATGTGAGATTTTTCTTTTTTTATCAATGATAAGATTGTTTTTTTTTGTGAATACAGAGCAGATGCAGAAAAGAGGGCAGGCCATTAAAAAGCGAAATCGACCATCTGTTGGAGCTCGATTTTGTCTTTCTTTTCTTCTAATATTAACTATCCGATGTTGATTACCGTCGCAATTACACACTTTAATCTATTCCAGGGTGTACCACGATCGGTTTAGCCACTCCTATTATATTCATACTATATAACTTCCAAAAGAAAAACAAGGATATGAAACCTTTTTATGATAGAAAAGTGTACACATTTCTTCATGAGTTTAGTTGGCTTATATATCAAATTGAAGATCTTTTGTTCCTCTATTGATCAACATATAAATATGTGTGAAAAGGTTGATCCATGATTTTCTTTCTTATCGACACTTGATTACTACTATACACCACATATGAACTGCTTGCTGTATATTATCTGAAGGACTACTCGGAAGATTGGTTATGTACACGTTTTGATGATAGTATAAAAGTTTTTGTTGACTGAAATATGCGGATTTATTCTGGATTAAATACTAATCAATTGATCTCGCTAAGTTCTATCAGATGGTTATTAAAAACCTGTACGAAAAAAGTAAGAAAGTTCCTCCAGTTTCTAAAATGTTCAGAAAACTTTTTGTACTTGACTTTAGCATATATGGTGGCAACTTTTTTTTGAATAATATTTTTTACAAAGACCATCTCTGGTGAACTGATATAGAGATGTCAGTAATGTAGAAAAAATGTAGTGTATTTTACGAATGGAATTGGTATCTTATGGGGTCTCGCGATGATTATAGGCATGTGACAAATGATTCATGTGAAAAAGATTAATTACAGAATTATTGTGTGTAATAAACTATGGTTGATTGGTGGTAAAAAGATATATGAACTGACTCAAGGATAATCGAAGTATTTCGTTTGGTGATCAATATTTTTGGCGTATTGTCATTCTAATAAGCGTTTTTCAATTAGAATGTTATTGTGATGAATGATCATTGTTGCCCAAATGCGATAAGCAGATCGTCTTGTACGCCAGATGCAGAAGGATTCTTTGTCCAACAGGATGTACTATGTTGGAACGAACTTGTTGATGCTCTGCATGCTGCAGCGCAGGATGAAGGATACCATCCTATGACATTCTCTGCCGTGTATTTCAGTTCATTTTGACCTACTTATTCACGATAAACTCTGACTGAACATCTGAGCAGTGGCTTATGTCAAAAACTTCTCATTAGTTCGTGCTATACTTTTTTATTTCAAACACATTCATCACTTTTAATTAAAGAAAAAAGTCTTGTTGGTCGATTTCGAAAAATTAAACACTCTTCTTTTATTTATATTATTATTTAGTTGGAGATCGTTCCTTGTGAATATTTAAGTTAATGTTCCTCGAGGTTCAGCACTTATGAAACATCTAAGAGTCAAATATAATAAACATGTAAGTTACTTGAGATAGGTTCACTCTAAAATTTTTCTATTACATGCAGAAGATATTGTTATCGACTAGCCTTGAATTTTACTTTGATGAATACTTAGATAGATGGACGAAGAACAAGAAAGATTTTAATGGTCACAAAAAAACATTTGTCTGCTTATAAATACTCTACACTCGCCTTTTTTATATTCAATAATCATCTCCCATTTTCTTCGGCTGTAATCCAATTGAAACAAGTATATCATATGATTTTATTAAGTACAAATTCTGTCACATATTCATCGTCAAATATTAATGAAACTCTTGGTTTATCGACAGATTCAAGTCAAAAAATGGATACTAATATCCAACAACAATTCAATCAAACTTACAACTATTCAAAAATAATCAAAAAAAGAATGAAAACATCAATCGTTCAAAAAAATCTGTTAGTTAGATTTAATATTTTTTTAAAAAGTAACTATTTAATTGAATATTTTAATAGAATTTGGTATTTTTCTGTCAGTCATGTGTTGGAACTCGTTTACGTAAAGGTGAGTATGCAGAACATATTTATTCAACAACATCTGTTTATTTAGCGAGTGTATTCGAATATTTAGTAAATTCATTCATTGTTATTATTATTAAGTTTTTATTTGACGTTTTCTATAGGTTGTGTAAACGATTGAATTAGTCGATGATATGACACATAAATCCAATCGCAAACGTATTACATCTCGAGATATTTCTTTAGAAATCAAGAATGATCATAAACTCGTATGTTTTAATTTTCTTTTTCAATGAATTTTTCTTTGATTCCATCATTAAG